TTCCCTCCATTTAGATGCAGTTACATTGAGGACCACATGCTGAGTACGGCCGGTCAGCCAGCTACGAATCCATCTGGTGGTGATGCTGTCCAACCCACATTTTTCTATCTTATCAAGTAGTAGGTTGTGATCTACTTTATCAAATGCCTTAGTGAAGTCCAAGTAAATTATATACACTTCATATAACCTTGATAATATTCCTCTGTTGATATAGCCTAGGACTTCTTTGGCTTTTTTGGCAGCTGCAGCCCACTGATGTCTCATATTTAATTGGTTGTCCACTGAGACTCTTAGATCCCTCTTAATGTTACTGCTGTTGAGCCACATACCACCTATTTTACACCTTTGCATTTGATTTTTCTTGTCTAAGAGTAAAACCTTACTTTTCTCACCATTGAATTGCATTTTGCAATTCATTTGCACTGAATTTGCATTTTATAATCTGCCAGTTTTTCACTACAATGAGAATTAAGCCCTTGGTTCACTCCCTGGACCACTAGAACAGTTTATTGACTGGGTTACCTCAGACTTCACTCTGCTCTTTAATTTGTGTCCGAAATGCTGATGTTTGTACTATTCTTAAACTTCCTTATTTTCCCTTCCTCTTTTTAATACCAGTTGTCACTTTAATTGGAAGTTTGAGAACTTGTTAATGTTAACATGTTAATGAATTGAGGGGGTCAATGCATCATGTCCTGCATATGGACCTAGTCAATTACTTGGCTGCTGGTTCAGGTACCTGTGAGCTTGAACCAATAGTTATAACTTGGATCATTTGGTTCTACCGTGTACTAGAAGAGCCACATCATGTTTTTATTATCAGAGGCCATTTCTATAAATAGACCTAATCCCACCAGGATTATATTTGGGATTGAATCATTTTCAGAAGCAATAAAATGCTTCTTTTCCATAGGCCCTGTGAAAATCCCTTAAAATAAATATCTCATTTGGAATGTCTAGAGATTAATGTTGTTATTACCTGCAGTCAGAACAATGAACATCACTTACTTGGTTTATTATCTATCATGGACTTTTTAATTTGTTTGTTTCTCATGTTATAACTCAGTGGAATATATTATTGAATTAATTGGCTTTTATCTCTGTACTGAACCAAATTGTAAGTGCGTAATAATTAAAACAACTATGAACATAATAAATACTGCTAGGTACAGACTGTGCGTAAACAAACATTAGTCAAACTGAAAGTATCTTTTGTATGTCTCATATTTTTCAAAAGAGGTTGCTAACTCTGTTCTATGTATCTCCCCATTATCTTTGAGGACTCTCATTCAAATAGGGATCAGACTGGAAAAGTAAGGCACTTTGAACCACGCTGACATAAACCAATTCAATATAACTTAGACCTCCTTGCAGCAGATCCCACTGTTAATCCACTGAATCACACTTCTGAGCAATCATGTCAATAATAAATACTAATGTAATCCAAGACAAGCTTAAAATTCATTTCTGTAGGTTTAGCCATAACACTCTAGCTTACCAAGACATGATGGTAGTTCCCATTGTCCATGAAGACACTTCGCTGGGTTGGTCCCAATACTGACAGATCGTTGTTGGCATTGGTATGCCACGGTTTCACCATGCCTGTATATGGATGACTTAGCCTCAGCAGGAATTCCCTTTGTAATTTTTCGAGGTGGTCCACAAGTTTTTACTTCCTCTGTTGAAAAGCAGCAGGAAAAGATGTTATTACATAAAGGTATTAATTATTTAGCTTTTCCAACAATTTGCCCCTCTGTTTCATGTACCTATTGTAACTCTGTTATCAAAAACAAACAAACAAACAAACAAATAAAAAAATAGAACATTAAGGATAGTTTTTATTTTTTCATTTTTGTTAGAGGCCTTTAATATTTTTGACAGAAAGTACTCATCAAATGAAGAAGGCAAATATATGTGGACTCTCAATTTGTGCTATATTACCATGACTTACATATTTTTATTGCCAATTATTTGAATCATTTGCTGCAATTTTTTGTCAAGTTATTATTTAATTTGCAACATTGAAGTCTCCAAACCTGCGATGGTATTTTTAATATGAATTGATAAACCAGCTAGCTATATTAAGCCCACATTCATTTTACTTCCAGTACTTTTTCCCAAATTTTCCGGATATCATGCTGTCTCTAGCAATGTCTTATTCTACCATTTGTACTAACAGAGCCATGGAAATGCTACAAAGAGAAGGACAGCTCTCAATTTCTACTTCCTATTGCAAGTAACGAGGACCCAAGTACTAGAAGTAAGCACAGGAATACATTCATGATTCATGAGATTATTAGGATAAATCAGAATACTTTAATTCCTCTATAATTTTGTTAGTTAAGCACTGGGAAGTAATCTTACCCTTCCATTCTCTACTAATAATGCACTGGAATCTGTTATGAAGAAAGATTCTAGTTTGCACACTATGGACCCTCCTCCCCACCATTCCCCCCCCCCAAGCTAAGTGCAAGAAACTACCATGTTACATCTACAAGTCTGTCTACTCATATTTCTGCTTACCTATGCATGATGGTAAGGGCGCCCATTCACCATCCACACACCCTATGATTTTTGATCCATGAAGTGCAAATGAGATATCACACTGAACTTCCAAAAGATCACCATGCTGATATACTGCTTTACGTTCACCGGTAACCATGCCATGTGAAATCCTGGGTAATGCCTGACAATATTTAACATTTTCTAGAAAAAAAGAGAATATCACTTTTATTTTGAATGTTTACTCAAGTTCCAGAGGGATATGCATGAATATTGTTATTGTTATCTATAACAATATATCTATATCTATTTCAACAACCACAGGAACAAAAGCAGTAGTAGATAATGTTTGTTAAAAATGTCAGTATAAGTCTGGTGTCCAAGAGTATATGTTAGAAATAACTTTAAAAACATAAATAAGTAATTTTTATGTCTGCAATAGCTATCTGTTACTCATTTCCTCCCTTTCCCTCAAAAAGATGCAAAAAGATGTGGATTAAGTTTGCAAATCTTTCAAAGACATGTGAAGTTGTAATAATAGGTAGGACCTCTCTTCAGCAAAGTCTAGATATGAGTTTCCAATAATTGTCTTCTTCAAAGCATGTGGAAAGTTAGAAGAGGATCAACTCTCCTGATTTGGTACTAACCAAAAGGGGAAAAAAACATTGATTGAATGAACATGGGAATGAACAATGAATGAAAGTATTAGAAAGTTGAGGGAAGTTATATTTAGAACTGAGTGCTCCATTTTAAGAAAGGCAATGATGAACATGGTCAAACATTTATCTTAAATGCCTATAAGGAATTCCAAGAGAGCTAGATGGTTAAATATCTGAGCAAAGAAAACTCTCTCCTTCAGATTAAATACTGAAGAAAACTCAGAAATAAATAACTTTTGTTGTTAAGTCTTCCATGGCTGAAAGAAAAGGAACCTTTGTTACCATCAATCACAGTTACATTCTGGACTAGCTTAGGAGCTTGGGAAATGGCGCACTTATTGAGGTGTTTCTTCTTATGCCAGGGCTGGTTCCAGTCAATGTAAGGTGGAGCAGTGTAGTCTGAACTTCTTGGTTGGTGGGGGTGACTAAAGGCTTAGCCCCATCCTTTTCTAAATATCTACATGAAGCTGTTGGGGGAGATCATTCCCCAGTTTTTGTGCAGTATTATCATATTTCAATTATACCTACTTTACATTTTTGTCCCTAGTTGTTCAAAT